ATTTTCAACATAAAACAGTCATTTATTTTGTACAAACATTTGGCAATATTTACACGATTGTGCCTTTTTGTAAACACGCGTTGCGTGTATTCCACGCAATTGTGTTTTTCAATTTGCTCGCGCATGCTCAGACAAATTTCCCACCTGTTCAGTATCGCAGGTTCGATTTCTGTCAGAGGACACGACAGATAGTTGCATTTTTCGCAACTGCTCCCAGTTAGGTCTAATAAATGTATAAAAAAACCACTGGAAATTTCCATCTACAAATACCATCAACATTTAATTGTTTTTTGTTTGTTTGTGGAAACACCACGTAAATTTATTACTGCAAAGCTTTCGATCCGTAAGCCCGGATCTTCATCAGTGCTAATAATACGTAATATGCGACATATTATTAGCACTGATGAAGATCCGGGCTTACGGATCGAAAGCTTTGCAGTAATAAATTTACGTGGTGTTTCCACAAACAAAAAACAATTATATTTTATCGCCATGCAAACATTCAAAGAACTTACCATCAACATTTGTTTTCATATCAGAAAAACGATGGCACTTCATTTTTTCATTCGGACACTTTTCTGTGCCATACATTTATTAAGCCTGGTCCACACACCAAATTATTTACACGTATATAACTACATCAAAAATATACATGTAGACAGTGCTATAGTCGTACTTCCCGACAAAGGGCCTTCGCTCGAAACGTCGATGTTTCGCTTATACTTTTCAGGTAGTTGTGCTTTTATAATGATTGCTGCAAGTCCTTATACCTGTGCCATAGTTAATGGTGATTTAATCTCTTCTCCTCTCAAAACCATTGACTTTTGTGTGAGTGCATCCTCCAGATCATAAATGTCCACCTGTAGTAAAGCCGCAATGTCCTCCAAAACTAAACAATGTATATTAAACATTGTCAGGTTGTTTAATTTTTACAGTTCTCCCAACAATGGCTATTTGCCAGAAGAATACATGCATCTTATTGGCAGATGACGTCATCCCTTGGGTATTTAAGAAGCCACATTTCAACTTTAAATCACCCCTGATGAAGACACTACACTGGAGTATCGAAACGTTGGGTCTTGATTACAATTCGACTGGGCTTGGTATTCATTTATTTAAACCAGACTAGCGAGCGAAAACATGATTGATATACCTGGTTGCCGTGAACGCACAAACTTTACATTACAATTACTTACTAACCCATAATTGTGAACATAACTTGTTATTAATAAAATCTTAATTTGTCTCTGTGAGAGTTTAAACTGTAGTTTGATTCCGTAGCCTAAAATATGACTTCGTCCATATTACGGAATACGGATCCCAAACTGTAGCATCGTACCAAAAAATTCAAATCACTGCCACTCCCACAAATGTCTATAAACACACCCACATATCTTTGCATGCTTGCAATTCTATTTTAAATCGTCTCGCCAATCAACGTTTGTTACAGCAATTGTTACCAAGAACGGGATTGGCTGTTTAGAATTGGAAATGCAAACTTATGAATATGAAACGATATGAATTTTTGCTGCAAGGCCACAGTTAGGTGAGATCCGTAATATTCTGTTGTGTATTGACCGACCACTTTGATCAGAACAAAGATCACTATAATTGAAAAGGTAAAAAGATATACAATATTTGCGTTTTCAAAACCTACCAAATTTCTCATTAATTTGAGCCCCATTGCCGGAGATAAATGTGACGTTTCCCAAGTTAAGTATCCCAGCTAAAACTTGTAGAATCTCAGAGATGCTTTCGTCTTTGAATCTCATCACCCTCATTGCTTCCTACAATCAATAAATTATTGTCCAATTCACAGAACTACACTGCCAAGTTCACCATAGCGGTAATCTCTTTTATTACTTTTCCATGATTAATTTTACACAGAACAATCACGCTTGCATGCTCTTGAAAATGCTTGGAATGCATGCAGAATAATGTAAAACGTAATCTTTCCTTCCCTTTTTCCCTATCAATCGGAATACTGCTACTGTAAAACAGATATTCGTTACTGTCTTATAGCACTTTTATTATTATTCAATAACAGGGTTTAGGTTGTGAGAAGCGAATGGGTGGACTATTAAGGTTACAGAACACCTTTGAGTGTTAATTTTGCCTAAAATTTTTTTATTGGTTCCCATGAAAGCATTAGACTAGTTCTACTAACTGGCCAAGTTTGGACGAAAATGTTGACAACTCGCTGAGTTATTTAATAAAATACATTTCGCTTGCAATAAGAAAAACATTGAAAATGTAATATTCAAATTCAATTTTCTCGCGAAGAATTTTACGGCAATTACTGATTTTTAAACGAGTTGTGCTCCTGCGGGTTTTAACGAATTTTTCTCAAATTTTCACAGGACATAGCTAAAGAAGTCAGTTTCAAAATTGTGTTCGGATTTGTTCTAATTTAGGATATTTTAATAATAAGGAGCAATTCACACAAACGATTCAGAAATATATTGCAGTCGTCAAAGAAATCGCCATATCAGCGGAATGACGAAATAAACAAAAATTTCAGAACACAATTTTTTAGAACAACTATTTTATTGTATAAAAATGATATTTTCATAAATATATCTTAAAACCAGCAGGAACATAACTCAAAAGCGCAAAGGTACCGCGACTTAAGATTTTCCTGAATAATTCTTACATTATTTTACTGTTTGACTGATTTTTAGCGCGGTAGCGATTTTCCACAAAACGCCAAAAAGGGTGTCCTGTAACCTTAAAGCAATTATAAACATCAACTAGTCTGAAAGAGCTCCTAACACCAAAGTGCTAAGAAGTGTGCAGATGCTGATTGTCCCTCTATACATCAATCACAAGCCTATCGTATACCCCATTGTTCATGAAACACGAGGAAATAACCACGTGAAAAAAACGAGGTCAATGGAGCAAGAGTGCTATAAACAGTACAGTTTATTAGGATGGACAGGATATGGTACGAATGGAGGAAACGAGTTTGCGAAGAAAGTCAGTGAGCTCTGCGAGTTGGAAATGAACGAAGGAGGCCATACAAAACTACAATATAAGGTAAGGATACCATGAAGAGACATCTCAAAAGTATTCCCAATGATGTAAACACTTGTGAGGAAAAAGCAAGAGAATGAAATGCTTGGAGAAAGACAGTGCACGATTCGGTTCCAAAGTTAAGCAGAAGAGGCAGACGATAGAACAGGGATATGTTACAAAAAAATCAGACACGACGTGGAACTTTATATAATATCAAGTACTAGTCAAATTTCGATCCAGAATACCGAAGACTTTATCGACTTTAACGCCAGCTTTTCTTTACAACCAACCCGAAAGTTGCTCAGCATATCGACTGGGTTATTCTACACCACGAAACGCTCTACCATAGAGCAGATGACGCCACACCATTCGTAAAAACGATCCAAGATTTAGGAATATTTACTTTGCTTATTTAAATACGTCTAGTCATCATCGGATAGGATGGACTACCCATATAATATAAAAATTATTAAATATAGTCCATTTAGTTATTTTACAGTATAATAAGACGACACTCACCAGAACCCTAAAGAAATCACCTTTGTCATCAATAGAAGGGTCGTTAATACACCCACTTTGATTGAGGTAATGGTACTTTTCAGCTTGTAACAAACGAAGCTCATCTGAAGACAGAAATATTAGAAAATTACTCTCGTTTTGTTAAACGTGGGAGACGAATTTTACAGCAACTTACTTTTTTCATTCTCCGAAACGCCAGCAAGTAAACCGTAAAATATGTGGTAATTTCTTTCATCCGGGTTTTGTCTTGCAAGACGATTCTACATAGTGGAAGAAATTGAGTATGACATGAGAATAAACCCTGGAGTGCGTTTGTTTAGTTTGTGTAATTTATTATGGGCATTGTAGTCACTGCATGCGTGTCTTCGGACTAGCCAATAGCTTAAAAGCTAACCATGAAAATCACGCAACCTACAGATAACAGTCATGTTATTTGCTACCAGACATGAGACAACACTGCTATATCTGTTGCTTGAACCAGCGTTATGCAATATTATCGCAAGCGGTAGCTTTATATTCACGAATAAAAACAACATGAACGATGTTTTTGTGTATGATTTTGTATCACACACCAAAACCACCGACACGGTAGCGATTTCCTTTGTCTTTTCCACGTTATTAATGAGTTTTTAAATACACGAAAAAAACACCCAAGAAAAAACAGCATGAATAAATGGCGTTTTTGTGAATGTTTTTTTGTACAAAAAGCTGACTTTTTCACACAGGCAGATGAGATTTCAAATATTTTTATGCTAAGTTCTTTGTATGTTTGCATGTTCTTTGTATGTTTGTATGTTTGTTTTGTTTCCACAAACAAAACTATTATTATTTTTATGCTGTTATTGTGATATTTCAAATCGTTTCCACTGGGTTTTTTCCGACAAATCACTGTTTGTCGAAAGATAATGAAAATGGAATGTATAATAAAACAGTTACTGAATTCGGTTATTGTGATATCCCGAACTATCAAGGTCGAGGCAAGTGTTATCAATCTCACCTTCGGCTCGACTGACAACACTTACCTCGACCTTGATAATTCTAGATATCACGAAAACCTCATCCAATAACTGTGTGGCATCCTGTCTGTTATTTGCATCTGTGTGAAATGCCCGTGCGATTGGTCATTGTGATTTGCATAGCCGGTCTCTGCTATTTCTCCTAATCTTGTGTTCTGTATAATTTACATATACTGTAGGTCTTGACTGTGTAATCTGTATGTGTATTACTACTGTACTGTACGACGTTGTGTCATGTGTACTGTAATGTGCCTTTCCCATAAATGTTCAGTCTATATTTCTGGCTGCCTGCTTTAATGTTAAAGATCCTGATGGAATGATAAGTTAAGTAAATGTCCTTACCTTTTCCAAAAGAACTGTTTATTCCACAATGAGAAGTATGATGTCAAGGAAAGTTATGTTTTATCTAGTACTACTTAAACTACATATACAATATACACAGGGTGGGATAATTTGCGTACTTGCGTACCGGAGGTACGCCAATAATACGGTCTGGTATTTCTTTTCTCATCGACGTGCCACGTAAGCAGGCGGTATTTTTGCTACTGTAGCTTTCATTGGTAGGGATGAAAGCTACCTGAAAAATATAAGGAGAATTTCGACGTTTCGAGCAAAGGCCCTTCGTCTGGAATTACTACTTACCAGCCAACTCCAGACGAAGGGCCTTCGCTTGAAACGTCGAAATTCTCCTTATACATTTTAGGTAGTTGCATCACTACCAACGAAAGCTTGGTATTTTTGCTATCTGCGTTTTGCTGACATCATACGACCTTTCCAAAATTAAAGTGTTGAAAACCGTAATAGGCTCTATAGCCAAATGAAGCACTTTCCGGAAGGGAACTTTCCTAACGCTAGCAATAGCAGCTTTCTGGGGACCGACCGTTCTGTAGCAATCGTCTAGAAAATCCGGACTCGAGAAAAACTCGGACCCAGCCTGTACTGTTTGTTTGTATATGGGGCAATGGTGTGAAAATTTTGAAATTTTACCCGATGTAAGGTTGAACACTTTTTGCAATTCTGATTTTCCCAACATTCTGTTCATAGGCGGATTATGACGATGACGAGAACGAGCACACCTAGCGCAAAAGGTCAGCACCGCAGGAGATACGCACCATTAACGAGACGGGCGGTGCATACAGTACAGCCCTAATGAAAGTTAACCATTCTCGCTCGATGCTATCGAGGAAAATGTTTCGAGTATCGAGATAAAAACACTCGATAAAAATTCTCGCTCGCTCGATAGGCTTCTCGAAACGCGCTTCGCGTTACTGGATACACAAGAATTTTGCGAGAAGCGAGAAATCTCGATGCAAACATTCTCGAGAATTCTCGTAACAAGAAATCTCGATGCATCATGCATTCACGAGAATTCTCGCAGCGCTATAATGCGTGTAAAATTTTTCGCAAGAAGTAACGTTGCTTCGCATGTCCGTGCGAAAACACGGAGTAAACTGAAAATAACAATACAGAGTCAATTCTTGACTGATCTTTTAAGGACAACATTAAAATCCAGAAACATTAAAAACCACAATCAATATTTTGAAATAAAGACGAAATACAATCTACGAATAATAAGTATTATTTTACCTACAAAAAATATCAACTTCGCTTTCCATGCCTTTCCATTCAGTATCACTTGGACGTCACTTCCTTTGACCGCGATGACTACTTCATTTGCGCTCAGTAACTTCTCACGCGACACATACGCGACACCACTAATAGTGTCTTGTCAGCGTAAAAGTAAACTAACTAACTAAGTAAAACTTCGTCAAGTTTCTTGAAGACATCGCGTTCTTATTTCTATTTCTATAATATCTCTCAGAGCAGGCTCACCGACAGACTTCAAAATAGTAATGAGCCTAAGACGCTTCAGATCTCAGTATAAATCAGACAGCATGTTTTTCACTGACATCATCTGTAACGCTCTTTTGTTTTCGATAATCCATACGAGACAATAAGTTGTCGGTGGAGTTCCTGTTATTGTGGTTATAAAGATGGTGCATGAATACAGTTTTCTGTCACTAAATGCAATCAACCGAAACGAACTAACATTATTTATAGCCTAAGGCTATAATTATATAGATTGCTTTTAGTGTATATGAGTCACACCGTAAAATTTTGGAAATAGTCTTATTTTCTATTTCTAACGAGTAGGTTGAACCGCTAATTCTAATAAAGTATATAATAGAAAGAGCGTGTTTTTACTGACACTAACATGTAACACTTCGAATAAACAGACGCTGATTTAACCAGAGAATTTTGTTTATCTTGTATTTGGGTAAAGGTGAGTAACGAAATAATATAACCGCTATCACCCTATCATTGTTATATTTTTAGGGAACTGGTAAATATATGTCAAAATACGTGACGTTTGCCATGCAAGGAAACAGCAATTATCATCCTACAGTATATTTCGCCACATGTTGGTCAAACTCTCGCTCGATTTCGGACGATACAAACAATTTTCGAGAACACTCGCTATCTAATTAAAGTCTTCGAGAACACTCGCTCGATAATTTTCGAGAACACTCGCTCGATATTAAAATTTTTCGAGAACGCTCGCTCGCTTCGCGCTCGCATTCTCGCAACTCGCAGATTTCTCGTTAGGGGCCAAATCGCGCTCGATAGCCTCTCGCTCGAACTCGCAACTCGCTCGTTACACGATGTTAATTTTCATTAGGGCTGTACTGTATACTAGTGGCGAAAGGCGTTCTATATCTTTGTCACTCCAGCTTTCAATCCGTGTAATCTTAGGTTCAATTCTAACTCACACTCGAAGC